TTCAGGATCGAAATTCTGCGTGGACGGTAAACTGAAAAGTAAGTTTGTAATCACTCTCAGAAATGTCAATTTTAATTGTATGCTTTTAACTGTTAATTTCGAACCTTTTGAACCCGCGCATGTGTGATCCTAATTGTCTCATGTGCACTATACCAAATGTTTATGAACATTTTGTTCCTTGTTTCAGGATCGTATCCATATATGGATTCCGAAAGGAATGGTGAGTTTGCTAATCGTTTCCGGAAAGTGCATCTTGTTCATTTCGAGTCCTTTAATCACAACTCATGTGATCCTTGGCAGACAAAAAGCTACGAAACGCGAAAAAGTCGCTTTCGAGTTTCTCGAGTTTTGAAAAAATCTCCTCAGAGGTTTTCCACTTTCTTCTGTATTATGTTCGATTCATCTCAACCTCATTTTTGAACTTATTGAGTCGGTTCGAGCTAAACACTAAAACAACTGTTGCAATAAAACTTGTCCGCGCAAGAGCAAAACTATAATACGAACGCGTCATCCTGTGTGAAGTGATTAGCGAACGAATCTTCGTGAAAAGGGTGATGTGTTATCCTTGATAAGACAAAGGAGTTACTGGCTGGCAATATACCGGTGGTACTGGGGTGGGACTGATTCAAGGAGGGTTAGATACTGCTATGTCTGCATATTGTTTCCTCTTTCCATTTTCCCTACTTTCCTCTATCTCAAGCTTTCTTCGCCCGTGGTTTTAGTTTTCGCAAGCCGAAAACTTTTCTCTCAAAGCTAATTTACAAATGTGGCTCAGTCAGTGGCTCCCCCACTTTCTTCACAATTAGGGGCGCGGCCGCGGCGAGCGCGGACGAGTCGGCAGTGCCCTAAACTGTGCGGGTCAGTTTGAAAACGCTTCATCGCTGCAGTTCGTGGATACTGCCGACTCGTCCGAGATCGCGGAGAAAGTGGGGGAGCTCTCAGTGTGTACCTGAAGTATTTTTCAAGATAGTTGGGCCACAGTTGTTATATTCAGCTTTTTGTTCTTTCCACGGTTTTTTCTGGAGTTTTGCAAGTCCCTAGAAGACATCCCTCAGCCATTCCAAGTCTTTGCTTTATCGATTTTCTTTCCAGGCTCGAAACTCTGTATGGATTACGAGGTCTATAAGGATTACCAGTTTGCGAGTCTGATCAAAAACGTGAGTTACTATACCGTGCACAATCGATTTATGGTGGGTATAACTAGCGCTCTTGAAGTAACTGAGATGCAAACATTTCAGGTATTTGTACAGTGTCGAGGATCTACTATTTACTTGTCTATGTGGGAAGTTGTTCGGCTGCTGTCGGAAAGCAGAGCATTCATCTACAAGAAGGTAGCTTAACCCATTAGCGACAATGCGATTTTTCGCGTGTCTGCCACGTGGGACCACGCTTTTTTCAATATTTTCGAAAAATGCGTCATAATGCAGCAAACACCGGCACCAAAAATATTGAATCTCAAAGCAGAAACTGTTGAGACTTTGCACGTCTCAAATTGTTGCCGATCGCTGCCTAAAGAAGCGTAAGCCTTTAAGTTTTGTCCGAGGTGGATTCCGCACCGAGCCAAAACACTTCAATTTTTTTTATTCTAGACTTCGTATGGGGCCGAATCCAGATCTCTCTTTGTGAAAAGATGTATCACTACTTTAGTCAATGCAAAACAAAAAAAAGCCAGCCTTCTCTAATACATGCGAATATAGCAAGCTTTCCTTTGAGAAATCTTTTCAAGATCCCCTCGTGTAAATCACTAATTAGGAAGGATATGCAATTAGCACGAATACCATAAGTACTGCAACGCCTTCTTGATTAATATTCCACTGAAATGATTTTGGAAGTCCTGCACAGAAAAATTATGTCTATGCTGCGTCCCCACTAGAGCCGCAATGTCGCCAATGGGTTAAGTACTAGCTCAACTCTATCCCTTCTTCTGCACAAGTCACTCCGTCGACTTTTCGTGCTCGCACCCACTTTGAGATGGCTTAAGTGATTGTTTTGTGCGCAAGTAATGATGCTTGCATGAAGTCCTTGATTTTGCTGTTTTGATTGCTTTAATTTGGCTTGCTACTGTTTTTTAGTGCTGACTTGGTAGTTGGAGGAAGCAGCGAGGCAGCGCGTCCCCCCACCAACTAAGTTAGCACCCTTTTGTTTGCACTGCTTCTTTATAATGTGTAATTCTGAACATAGGTCATAAGTATTGGATAATTATTTCGTGAAGTGTTGCAACAAAGATTCTGGTGGGTTAGACTAGTTGTGTGTAATAGACCTCAAGGTTGTTTCCTCGTTTACTTTGACAAATTCCAACGCCTCATTCCAACGGAGAATATTCTAGTTTTCTCCATGCTAATACTTCTTAACATTCACGGATAAGTAGGTGTCAGGCTCGGCGTTTGCTGTCGCGGTTGCACTTCGTTTACGCACAGCAAACGCCGAGTCTGACACTTGCTCTAATAAACAACGATGATAACACAACGCAATTAGTGCGGAAATGAAAATACAATGCAGATTATTGTTAAAACTGCAAACCTACGAGAAAAGGCATTCATTTTTCCATGGAAGAGAACTTCTTCTTTGGAGTTGGTATCCAGATATATCGATAGAGTCAAACCGTGATTACAAATATGGAAACCAAAATTCCAAAATAAAGCTGCCATGAGTAGTTAATAGTGTAAGTATTCAGAGTGTAACCATGGCACCATTTCAATCAAATTTGATCGAGCTCGTAAGGCTGGAATCCGTGCCTGTGGGACGTATCATCAACGGATTATGCTAGAAAAGATCGTAAAAACGATGCGTGGATTCGAATTCTACGCGATATGGAGCAGCGTGGACACTCGTCTACTTGTGCGTAGTAATTTCCTGAGGTGCAGTTTCAAGTGGTCCTATGATATCCGGTCAAATTCAGTGAGTCAAATTAAATCAACATGGAAGAACTTCAAGGACATGTGGAATAAGAGAAGGCGTGCACCATCAGGATCAGCTGGAACACGTGAATGGCCTTACATGGACGCAATGGCATTTTTAGAGAAATGTGACTTCCATGGGTATGTTCCACTGAACAATTCTTTTTCGGAGCAACGTTCCATGATCACATTGTAGGCGCACCAGATCCATTATCGACGACGGTGGTATGTTCAGAAATGAACTTGATGATTTTGATGCGGCTTTAGAAGAGCATTCTTCTGCGTCATCGGCTGCTAGCCAGGAAAACTTGAACCTAGATTCTCAGCCATGCAGTAGCGGTAGCCCATCTGCTCTGCCCAGAAGTCTCAGTCCCATTGAACTCAGTCAAAAGAAAAGGAAAAAGAATACTAATGGTATGCCATCGGCTTTTTGAGAGGATCCTTTTTTCGGAAAACAATTTGTTGCAGAAAATCCGATGGTGCGCTTCGCGGCGGACCGTGTTTTTCAAGCTTGCGCTCGGATGGAACAAGCTGGGTCTATCACCGCTCGGATGGATCAAGCTGTGTCTACCGACAGATTTCAACATTTTGGTAGCGGTTAGGTTTAGACGCGCTTCCCACTGTCATAAATTTCAAGGTTTCAGGCAACTAGGTAGGTGCTCACTCAGAGAAAGGTTCGATGATCCAGCCGCAGACTGGAAGATGCAGGAAATAACCAATGTGCTGACTACCTACAGCTACCATTGACGTAGAGACAGGCAAAGCGACCAATGTGGTGACACAGGATCAGTAAACGTAAGATCAGTGAAATAGATTCAGACTGTTGCAATTCATTGGGCATGAAGTTTTCTCAGGTCCTTTCGCCTCATTCTCTTGGGGACTTTTTCAACCTTTTACGGTGTTCTTCATTGAACTTTGACAATTTCTCTATTGTGTAATCGTGTGTTCTCTTTTCTGAGCCGTGCAAATCTAGCGGTGGAACCCATTTGTTGGTCGACGTTTTGACTAACTGTTATCTTCAGCGACTGAGACTGGTTTGTAGTCTTACATTGACTGAGACGCCAAACCAGCTTCAGGTCCTGAAGTCGAAACGTTGACTAATAAATGAGTATTTTTCCGGAATTTTCGAAGTTCAGTCAAGGACACCGTAAATGTTGTCATAATGGTTTCTTCTATCGCTAATTTCCTCTCCTTCCTCGTGCGCCCGCCTTATTTAGTCACGCTCATGAGCACCTGGGTCGACTTGCGCGGCGTCATCCACTTCCTCGGCATCATCCACTTCCTCGGCCATCGTCAGCTATCTCGGCATCGTCGACTTCTTCGGCGCCTGCTGGGTGCATTTCCCTCTGGGCGCGATTTATGTGCCATCTTCCACACTCACCCACGTTACGCGCTTCTCAATTACGGTCGGTCCATTTTCAGGGTAGGAGCGAGATTCGGAATCGCTCTCAGTTCCAAACGTCTGCTCTACCATTTGGCGGGCACTTCATGAACGACATCTATAAACTCTCTTGATGAAAGTAATGGATGCCTACCTGCTGTGCTTCTGGTTGAATCTTCGCTTGCTGGCGGTATCCGCTCGTCATCTGATGTACGGCGTAATGTAGCGGCGCCCCAGTGCGGAGCCGTTGTCCGCCAGTTTGTGGTATGGGACAGGTCCCACCTCTCCCAGTTCTCGCGTGGGGGGTAAGACGTCGTCGTTGTTGTCAAAAAACGCTGAAATAAGTGGGTGTCAGATGAGTGATTTCTGTGTAC